ACTCCAGGGGGTGCTGCAGCACCCTCAGCACCCCTACTTCCCGCGGTAATGTTTATATCCATCACTTATGGTTACAGGCACGACTCAAGACCAGGCCTGTACAGAATCTGCAGACTTTTCCCCACATTTTTCTGGAAAGAAAAATCTGCAAAAATCTGTTAAACACAGCTGAGATTATCAACTCGCTTGCCAAAATACTTCATAAATATAACTTAGGTTCTAATATTGTGAAAATCAATTAAACTGATTCTGTGCGGGCCTGCAAGTTAAAAAAAAAATTGATTAATTTTGTTTTCTGTTGTATATACAGTACAATTTAGTGTCACATCTGTTAGTAAATACAGTACAGCTGTCAAACCCAAATATTGAATGTGTGACTGGACACTCTTTCACGGTCTGTTTTCCTGAAACGGCATGTTCGTTGGATATACCAAGAACAATTTGGGATGATTTCGAATTTGTATGTAAGGCTTAAATAGACTAAAAACCCTCCTTCAGATCTGTAAAGGAGTTATAAATGTGTGGGATGTGTACTTCGGGAAGGCACTGAACTTTTCGGTTTGAACGCAAAGCAATAGAACTGTACCCATGGTGCAGTGTGCAATAAAAAAGGACATTTAGACTGTTGTACACTATGTCTGGACAAAAGGTTGTGTCAATGCGGAATCACAGAATTCAGACTGTTTGAATGTTTTTTTATTATTTGTTTAAATGTTTTGTTGTTCAATATGTTTGTAAACAAATAAGATGTAGGATGTATGAATAAGAAGACACAAGAAGCAATGTTTTATTTTGTTTTTATTAATGACACATTGCTCTGTGTAAGTTATATTTGCTTACTGTATACCTTGGTATAGAGTTTTGTGAGATGTATATGGGCATCTTACTGCCAGGAGTTGGTCTGAGAGATTGGCGCTCCTCTCTTTCCACTTCATCTTTTGAGATAACCTTGTGTTTGGCTTACCTGTTACCTGTAGGTGTCTCTATGTGTGCACTGTGTATGCAAATGTACTGATGGGTGTTTTGTTTTGGAGTACTAACCGCTGCCTTAATTCAGCAGAATTCAGTGGGGGTGAGTGTAACAGAGTTAGGATTTTATTTAGTTTTATTGTGAATTCTTATGAATTCAGCAGCGGTTAATTTCATGTTGTACTGGTGCCCTCGTGTGGTTTGTGTGAGAACTGCAGGCAGACAAAATGTTCGGTAAGACAGGCGATGGCGTACGCAACACAGCAGTTGCAATGTGTACTGCACGCTGTGGGTGGGTATGCTTATGCTCCATCTCAATTTAGTTATATATATTCGATTATAAGGCAAAATAAGTGGAGTTTTCAAGTATTTGATGTTTATGATTTAGTTAGGGCATATAACTCCCTACCATCCTATGGGGAATGGTAGTGTGGAGCGATTTAATAGGACCCTGGAGAACATGATCCGCGCATTGGCTCCAGATGCAAAGCATAATTGGCCAAGACAACTGCAATCTTTGACTTTCTTGTGCAATTGTACTGTTCATGAGACGACTGGCTATGCTCCGTTTTATCTCATGTTCGGTAGAGTTCCTCGCCTTCCGGTAGACATAATTTTCCGCTCTGTTCTGGAGGATCACACTGTGACTTGTTACGACAAGTATGTGGCTTCTCTTTTGAAAGATCTGGAGGAGGCCTTGTCAGTAGCTCAGGTGCATGCTTCGAAGGAACAGTCCAGGCATGCAGTGATCTACAACAGGAGAGTCAAAGGTCAGGACATTGATGTTGGTGATCGTGTTCTTTTAGCAAACAAGTCTGGAAGAGGCAAGCGGAAGCTAGCTGACAGGTGGTCACTTATGCCTGCAGCAAAATAACCACTAAAGGGTGATTTATTTCATTTTACAGCCTGCAGTAGAGAAAAGAAAGATTCATACCAGACAGCATTGTGTCCGAGCCTTTATTGGAGGGGGGTTCGGACAAAGATTGAGTCCGTTGTACAGAGCGGTGTCTTATCGGATCTCAGTGGTGTTCGTCCAAGTCACATCGTAGAGTGGAGGAGAAAGACCACATCCGTCACATATGGCATCATAATAAACAAACTAAATGATGAATTGGTTGTGGGATAACAGTGAATCTTTATCATACACAAACACACATTGACGTACCTTCTCAACACTTTCTGTCATTGGGACTGTGATGGATTCAGATGTCTCACAAAGACGAGTCAGGTTAGCATTTCCTCACTGAAATGTAAAAAAAAACCTTCCCCGGGTGTTCTCTCTTCCACTAAATGATTCTGCTGACATCCAATCAGCTGGCTTCTGGTTTTCTAAAGAGGACGAAGCAGCAGAGATTATGAGAGGGGAAAATGGAATGCAATTTTTGCCAGTGATTTTCTGGCCAGAATAATACATCGGAAGTGCTGAAGTCTTTGAAAACTCTTCCTTTTATCAGCCACGCGAGTTCGTCTGAGGAGAGAGAGGACAGGTAAGAGAAAGCGAGAGAGAGAACGGCATGAATGAGAAAGTAAAGTGATGGCTGTGGGATAGAGATGAGGGGTTTTTTTGGGGGGCGGGGGTTGGGGGAATTGTGCACATCACACTTTTTCCGTCCTCGGTGGAATTCTAATGGCTGTGGCACCGAGTCGAGGCTTTTATGGGAGATATCAGAACCGCTGCACTTTTCCAGGTTAGACACGACCTCCTCCACCTACAACCACAAGATTTCTGAAGCCCCGAGAGACGAGGAGGCACAGGAATGAGTGAGAGTCAGAATAAAAGATAGTAAGCCGTGACATTCAGAACGAGTCAGAGAACTAATGAGGACAGCTAAACGTACAGGGTTTTTACTACACCGCTGCAGCTTTAAAGCGATAGTTCACCCAAAAATGACCAAGGGGGTCTAGCTGCAGCCTCGCACTTGCACTCAGACTTGCATTCTCAGACACTTGCGCTTCCGCTAGCGACGTCACTTGCAGTCTTTTATTTTTTTTATTTTGTTCTATTTATTATTACTTTTTGTTTGAATCTCTCAACATTTTACAGCAGTAGCCAGGTGGTGAAGACAAGAAAAAAACTAAATTACGAAGTCACTTGCAATCGCCACTTGCACTCTCCGATACCTGCGATGTCACTTGCAATCGACACAAGTCATGGCGACGGATTTGCGGGTCTTGTCTTTTTCTTGCAGGACCCTGTATGTTATGGTACTAAATTAGTTTTAATCGTTTAATCACAACAGCGTCGTCTCCATTGGCAACACGCACGATTTGTGTCGATTGCAAGTGACTTCGTAATTTTGTTTCTTTTTTCTTGTCTTCACCACCTGGCTACTGTCGTAAAATGTTGAGAGATTCAAACAAAAAGTAATAAAAAATAGAACAAAATAAAAAATAAAGCCTGCAAGTGACGTCGCTAGCGGAAGCGCGAGTGTCTGAGAATGCAAGCCTGAGAATGCAAGTCTGAGAGTGCAAGTGCGAGGCTGCAGCCAGACCCTTCTCGAAATGACAACTCTGTGATCATCTACAGTAGGCCTACTCACCGTCATGTTGATCTAAACCTGTGCGGTTACAAAAAGAATCTTCACTCAGCTTGTCATATTTATATTGAACATGTTTCAAAACAAAACAAAAACAAATGGCATAGTCCATACACGAAATTATGAGCTTAATGTGAGGAAAAGATTTGATGTGAAAAACCTGATGTGATGCATCTAACACCACCAAATTTGATTAGAGAAAAGATGATGCAGTAAATAAGGACTTACAGTAAATATCAGTCTGATCGCAATATACAGATGACAGAAGACAAAGAAATAAAATATATGGACCACTTTTATGGTTTGTTGTTGTTGCTGCAAATTATGTTATTAATCATGACATCACAATAAGCATAATTCTTTTAAAAATAGCATAAAATTGACAAAATATTCAATATTTTGTTCATTGAAATAAATCTGAAATAAAATCAAATAGAAATATTAGATAGAAAAACTTGAATTATAAAAAAAACTAGAAATATTGCCTTGACAACTAAATTAAATTACTTTGTTGAAGTACTAAAATAAAGCTAAATAGAAATATTTAAATAAAAAATATTAACCCACCCAAACTACTTAAATTAAAAGGAAGACTGAAAATGTAAAAGCGCTAATTTCAAATATGTATACATATTATAATAGTGCATAAAAAACATTTAAGGGTTATGAAAAAAAAATTATCAAAACATCAGATGACATTTTTATTTAAAGAAATTCTCCATATTGGTTGTTTTTTAAGTTCTTAAATGTGACACATTTGAGAGGGCAAACGATCATTTATTACACACGATATCAAAAACAAATTATATGAAGAACTGACATCAGTTGGACACAGTTACAGGCTTAATTCACTGTAAACACACACACACACACAATGAGAAAAATCACAGAATTACTCATGTGAATAATATTGCCTACAGTATATCTAACACTCCAGAGTAGTAGTGGACCAAACAAAACAACTAAATCCCAGCGGCACAGTAAACCATAGGTTTACACCTCAATCCAGAATCAATACGGGTCTCAGCAGATCATTTCGCCAGATTTCATGTCGATGGGTCTTAAAATTACATGAATAAAAACCCCACTGGCAGTTCATTAAGTTCATTAATTAGACTGCACATGTTTCATCACCTCAGTCTGCAGTCACAGTTCTGAAGGAATCCTTTTCTCCTGAAATCTCCTGTGTTTGTCTTGGTACTGTAAACCAGATTAACACAGAGGGATGTCGAAAAATCATAAAAATAGCTGTACAGAAATGACTCCTGCTTTGCTGTAATCTCTTTATTCATAGACTTTATTCATGTCATATTTCATTTGGAATGTCACCGTCACAGTCAAATAGGTTACTTAAAAAAAAAAAAGTCTATTTTGGCCGCACTTGAAAACACCACACTTTACATGGCTTTCCAGTGCTGTTTAGCTGGGATTGGAAGCGTCTGTCAGTAAAGCTTAACGTCTGAGTGTATTTGTGTGACCCTTGGCTACATTCGCTCTGACAAGCTAGGACTCGTGTAATGTCGCGCCTGTCGCTCCAAAAAGCTTCTAGAGAAACCCGGGCACTGGAGAGGGAGGGAATTTTCACGCATTTACAATAGGAAAACACATACACAACTGCATAGTGACAAATCTCGACAGGAATATTCGTAAAAGCACGTCCATCCGGTTTCCTAAGACATCGCAGGCTTGTTTAACCCATATTCCTTCCTCGGGCACTTGTGCCCTTGTTTTCTTAAGGCCACTGCGTGTGATATCGAACTTCCATTCATCCCTTTCTTTTCCGTATCCCTCTTCGCTCCTCTTCTATCCCCACACAGACTTCTCTGTATTGGAGAATTGCAGTTGGACGGCTTCACCGCTC